AACTTATTATAAAAAAATACCAGTGTCACAGTCCACTTTACCTTCGACCTTTTTTGCAAAAATTCTTCGGACGTTTTAACTTAACATATGTCTTTTGATTTTTGAGAGGTAGGATTTTAATAACAAGCATTTTCTTTTTACATGTTTATGACCTTATGACTCTGTTTGATATACAGTTAACACACAAACAGATATTTGAATACTATGACAATACATCGGGATCATTCTTCCGCAATCGATCGTCAAGACTGACAATTGCAGTTAAGACAGAGTGAAACCTCATTATGAAGATTGCTGGAAACACAGATGATATATAATTGTTACGTATAATTATTCAATATTCGTGTACGTTTTTGTGTCTCTGCAGGCAAATGCATGATCTATAATCCTAGTAGCAAATAAATAGCAGACCACTCTTTGATTTATTTACGTATCGTTAATGAATCTACTAAACAGGTGACACAGGTGTTCCTTAGAACACTCTTGTGTACCTTTAAACGGTTCCAAACACCCAATATGACATTGGAATGCCAGTTTTAAAAATTAAATTCTGAAGTCCATGTTAAGATGATGTTAGAAATAATACTCTCGGGTTGATTTAGATTTTATTTTTTATACAACATGAACTTCTCTTAGAGACAATATGTTAAATATAAATGTTTGTTATATTCAGTAAAGAATAGCTATATTTTCTCTATATGGAGAAACAGTCAACATATTTGATATTAGCTCCTCTGAAAAAAAAATATTGACGGTCAATAGATTTTTTACTATTGACCGGTGAAGAGAGTTTGCGCACATTTTTATTGTTTTTGATTCTGATTAGTAGTATACAAGCATTTAATGACTGAGCAGTCAATAGACCAGAATGTTTTCCCGATATACAAGGAACAAATCAATGTGTTGGCCTCTGGCAATAGAACACACTGAGCTGTTCCCTGCACCAAGGGAAAAATTTTCTGGTCTATTGACTGCTCAGGCATTAAATAATTGTTTTATTACCTAATTCCATTTTCAGTATCTAATGTTCACAATTGCATATTACAGAAGGTTTCCATACCATTATGCATGCAAATCGTTGTTAATTAATGCCTAGATGATCTAAACGATTGTTTATCACTGACGTCTGTGCAATGTAACATATAAATTCGAAACCCGGATCGGTTTTTCCGAAATACGTTGCCGGTGTAACGAAAAAAAGCGACCCCCGTAGACTATTGACAGGGGGTCATTTTTCTACATGGAAATTTGACCTCTTGGTCAATATTCTACGTAATAAATGACCCACTTTTTGTAAAAATTATGGCCTGGGGGTCATTTTTCTCCGTGTGGGTTGTAGAAAAATGACCCCGTAGAATAATGACCCTGTGTCTTTTTTTTTTTTTTTTTACAAAAAAAAAAAAAAAAAAAAAAAAAAAAAAAAAAAAACTGGTTTTGGTAGGGTATTCTTGTTAGGCAAATACAGAGGGGTAAAATCACGCACTCTTAAAGCTTTTAAGTTTAAATAAAGAAAGGTTAAACTATACCTTACATTTTTGAAAGAGAAGCTTATACATTGTATATGAATGACAAATGCATGGTTTCTATGTATAGTTGTAATGATCCTCTTTAAATTTTACTCTGGGTAAATAACGTAAATAAAAATGAAAATAATGTCTCAAGCGTTTTTTTCTTTAGAAGTTATGAGAGATTAATGTTTTTGAACCCTACCCAAATAAGTTTGCGTGAAATAGGGACAATTGTGAAGAAAATTGGATCTCTTATACATCTTTGATTTTTTAGTATAAAACTTCTTCTCATACAAATATAAGGAAGATAAATCAAATTTGTGTAAAAATAACAAATGGGACTAAATCAATATTCCTCTCATATTCGATCTCAGGAACACAAAAAATGATTAGATCAAAATCTTTACCAATATCTTTTGTTCTTTGCCAGTGTAAACAAAGCCTAAACAAAATAAGGCTTTTTACATTTAAAAAAGTGGATTAATTAATAAAAGAGGTGTTTGGTGTACCAAGAATTGACACAGGTCTAAACATATTAGTTCGTCTTTCCCCTTTCTAGTTACATGTAATAATTTTTACCAATAGAAAAAACCGAATGCTGCATTATGAAAAAGCTTCGGCCTAATTTACTTATTTTTCCCTAAGTATGATTGGCAATATTAGCACCAAAAAAAAAAAAGAAAAAAAAAAATAACTGTGCCAAAAAAATTGTAACATATTGTGTTAGAATCAAGTACGTGATTCGTGACAGCCTATCTATAGTGGTAAGTTTTGAGGGAATGGGTAACGAGGATGTATCCCACTCTCTAAATTTGCTAGACTATAGAAAAAAAAAGAAATTCTGGCCATTTCTTTCCTGTACACAAATTAGCGTATTTCCTGTGTGATACGAGGTATAAAAATATATGAGTTTTTAGGAAAAAAGTAAGCAAAAAAAATTTTTTTGCATCAAAAATCCAACTTATAAGGAGTTACATAATGCATATGCGCATGAAAATGTAGATTATACATATATCTATAATCATCAAGGAAGGGGAATATATTGCCACTATTTCTATAACAATCGAAGGGCACCCCTAACAAAAATTTACTATAGTAAACTATAATTTACTATTTACTATTGTTAACTATAGTAAATACTTTGATACTTTGTTTTACTATGAAACTTATTTTGGAGATTTGAAAGCTGAAATTTAATAAAATTGATATCACTAATGTAAAATTTTGGGATGAAATGTTAATGTACAAGAAATACGAGGGGTACCGGTAATAAATAATTGAAATACTTCCAAAAAGAAAAAAAAAATTAGGTTTCAGTGTTTATTATATTTTAAAATAGTCCTCTCCGATTTTAGGGTACATCTGCCACCGTTCTGTCTATGCACGAATCACGTGATCCAGGCGGACACATCTTTTCCTCAGCTTACTTTCACTGGGCACCAGTGATACCCTCCCCCCCTCCTCCCCCCCCCCCCCCCCCCCCCGCACAGACAGACAGACAAGATTTGTACCAAAATGAATATTACTGTATAGCAAGCCTAAGAGTGTGTTAAAATTTAAAATTTCAAGCATCTGCAATGAGTTGTTGCAGAGAAAATTGCAACGAAAAAATTGTTTCGGACAGACACAACCCCCCCCCCCCCACACACACACACATATGCGAACAGAGAGATTTGCAGGGTAAAAGGTATGCACCCCAATTTCCTTCGGAGCGGGGGTATTGATATTCATGTAATAAATAAGGATAAATGAACCTAAAAGAGGGAAAAAGATATTACATGATATTAAAAATGAAGCAGTCTATCTATCTATCTATCTATCTATCTATCTATCTATCTATCTATCTATCTATCTATCTATCTATCTATCCAACCATCATACATTTGAAAGAAAAAAATTCAGGAAAATCTAGATCTTCACCGACCCTCCCCAACCCTCGATTAACGCGTATCAAATCTCATTTCTAAAGGTTTAATAATAAAATATAGTGAAAAAGTAGGATGGCTGATTTCTATGGGGGTCATTTTTCAACGTGTGTGGCGTCGTAAAATAACTGGCTTGGAAGGGTTACTACGGTCGAAAAATGACCCTACTTGCCGTAGGAAATTGACCGGGGGTCATTTATCTACGAAGAAATTTGACCCCACGGTCAATATTCTACGGGGGTCAATTGTTTGTAGTTACACCGGTCCAATAGATCGAAGTCTATTGACTGGCGATCTAATACATCGCAGTCTATTGACCGGCAGTTCAATAGATCAGTTTAAAAAGATAAGAAAAACTGAATATTCATACAAAATAGACGAAAATATATTAAATATCTAATAAAACAACAACATCTATTTGATTAGGTAATAACTTGAATGACATTATGTATTATAAAAATAGGTTAAACAATCATGGCAAGATTTGCAAGAACTACAGTCGGATTGCATGCAGACAGTGCATGCATGGATTACACAACCTAATTAAAAGCTGACTTCTTAGGCTTTTCTTAATTATGCAGAGTGTACAAGGCGCGCATCTAAGAAGTTCGATTTTAATTAGATTGGGATTACAAATTAGGTATTTAAATGAATACTGTTCGTTATCTCCATTCATTTCATGAATTTGTTTCCAGCGAGAAATTTAGTGATACTATTTTATTGATTGTTCTGTTTTTATATAGCAGTCCCTTAGGGGCTAACATAGTTAATCTTGCCCTCAATCCCAGTCAACATTTGTATAATGTGATAAAACCCATCCTCCTCATATCTTTTTATTTAAATTTCCTCATTGTGTTTGTTCTTTGATCGACGTTAAAACATTACCATGACCCGAACATTGACGCCGAGATGTGATTTTTTAAAATTAATTTTCCAAGGCCATATAGGGATGTTTGGAGCACAAGCAATTGTTTCAGTAACAGATTTTTTAACCCATAGTATAACAATAACACAAGGTATCTAACTCTGAATTACTTTCAGTACCTCCCTCCCCAGAATCACAGTCATTTACACTTTCAGAGAAAATGCATTGACAAATCGTGTTTTACCATTATCTTTTTTTTTCTTTATTCATCTACACAACGATATATATGGCTGCTTGTCTTTATTTTCTTTTTTCTCCGTCAACAGTAACAAAATTCTGCTCGCTGACTGGAAAATGCTATTTACATTATGAAATGGTATGTTCAGATAGATATATAGCAAAATAAAAAAAAAAAACATTCCCAGTGTTTAAATATTGCAGTGGAAAAAGCCAATTTGTTTACGTTGTATTTCCATGAAAACATTACGATATTTTTCTGATGTAGTATTAGAAATACATTTTTAGCCAATCAAAATCCAAGAACATATTCTGCTTGAGACTAATACATACCATTTAATGATATTTTCCTGTCAGCGAGCAGAACCTTGACGTTGATTACGTCCAAACAGAATGACTGCAATTCTATGGAGGGGGTTAGATACATGTACTTTGGAGTTAGATACTTTGTGTTATTATTATATTATGGGTAGAAATATTACAGAAACAAGTGTTTGGGGTTTGGAGGTGTTAAAAGGTAAATAAAGTAACATAAAGTTGGCTAATTAACGGATACCATGCTTTTGGCGGGGGACTTATATTGCAAGAAATTATACATGATGCGAGCGTAATTTAAAAGAAGTGGCGGTGTAAATAGAAGTTTTAACAATACTTAAATCTGTAGCTCTCTAGTTTGTCTGTCCATTTCTCTCCAACCAGAGAACTGCAGTTCTACGGCTTACTCTACAAATGTGTTTGAAAGATGTTCCGAGTATTGTATATTGTGTTTTTTATACTAGCTTCCAAGGATGATGAAATTCAAGAAAATGCCAAAGGTAATTCATGAATATAAAAATATGTTATAAAATTCTGTCTATATAAATGTATTATTAAAATGAATATAAATTATACAAATTTTCTCAACCAGAGGGCTGCACTTCTACAGCCAAATCTATGAATCTCTGAAATCTCTGAAAAAGATTCTTGTATTCTGTTTTTTTTTTTCTCACACTAGTTTACAAGGAAGATGTAGTTCAAGAGAACTCGAAAGGTAATTCATGAAATTGAAAATGATACGTTATCAAATTTTGAATTGTAGAATTCCTAAATGTAGCAAAATCTATGAAAAGTATATGAATTTTCCCTCAGTACAGAAGACAAAACAAACATTTCCTCACAAGAAAAAAGAGGTGGTTCTCGTAAAATATTGTAATATCTTGATGCAACAATATATGCTCATTTCATGTTTTTAAAGTTCGGTTACAATCAACTCCATTACTTGTACATGTTCTTAGAGCATAAATAATAAAACAATAATATTCTTTGCAGTGCATGTATAGTGTGCACTTAAATCATAATCTTATTTAAAGTCTCTGGCGAATTTATACATTAAATTATTGTCCTTTCCATTTTTTTTATTTAACATTATTGTTTGCAGACCTTAAACGTCAAAACATGTTGTAAAATAAACCCACTCTTCAAGCACATGCATCGATGATGCAAAGAGGAACAGAGACATTAAAAAATAATTGTCAAAAATAAATCATTATCAAACATACACTCAAGTTTGATAAAATTGACCCTTGCCACATTACTACTAAAAAAAATTATTTTAGAAATGAATTTAATTTTTTAAAAGTCTTGAGGACATAAACTACGATGCTTCACGACGTCAAATCTCACAAAGTGTGTTAGCATAATAACTGTGCAGGCTTGAGCCGTGTGGATTATGTGCCTCATGGATTTTCAATAATTGGATTAAAAATCTTATTTTTGCATAATATATATGATAACTGGCATATATAATATCCTTGAATTATCATTAAAAAATGATTGCACAATACTTTTGATTTTTGAAAATACTTATGTATATTCATGCCCATCCAGGCCAATTCATGATGAAATGAATTATATTTCTTTAAATAAAGAATCCATAAAAAATTATTATGTAAGCATTTGGCAATGGCTTATTTACATTATAAGAGCTGACGTCAATTAAAAAGTAACAAAAATGTTTAGTGAAACAACTGTAAGAACATATAAAGCAAAAAGAGAAATACAGAAGAAATACACAAAAGAAACTCAATAATATGTATGTAATGTAATTATTAAATTATTATTATTATTATTATTTAAGCCAAACTTTTTTGCCAAAGAAAAAAAAAAACATTATTTTTTTTTATTCAGTAGCGAAAGTAAGATGTTTATACCAATGTTCTATCTGCGAGAATTTCTTTTTTAAGAAGAGCGAAATTATTTTTTTCATCTAATGACTGCATACATATCATATAACTGTTTATTTTTGCGACAGACAAACTAAGCGATCTGAAAGCTATATTGGACTTTTTTCTTAGCCTGTAAAATTGCTATCGAAAGTTTAATCAATTGAGCTTGAAAAATCTGTCCCCTGTACTTGTCTTCTTGTACTTATAGGGAACGTTTGGTCAGAATTTTAATTTCTATATATAAAACTGCATCTCTCATATAAAAAGAAAAGCAGCATCCTATAGCACTGTACTGCTGATAACAGCAGTTGAATTTAATATTGATTGCTTAATTGGACTAGCATAGGGGAAATCCTTATCATGGCGGCTGCTGACGTACTGGAGGCACTTTAAAAGTTAATGCGTTTATGATTGCAGAGTTATAAAATTCCTTTCATCAGAAATAAGCTTACTCAAGCAAATGTCTTATTATTGGAGAGCGATTAAAATCTATCATGACCATATTTTAACTTTTAAAAATTTGGAATTAAAAATGAATCGAAATATACAATCTTTGCAGCTACGTTTTAAATTAAAGTTTAATTTCCTTTTTTTTTCTCAAGAGATATAACTCTTTTTTATTATTAATTCCTTCTTTAATTTTCCTCAATTCTAAAACACTACAATCATTAGCATGTAAAATTATATTACCTTTATTTCATTCAGTCTCAAAATGAAATCGCAAGCACTTAACTGGCACATTTTCACAAGTTGATTCTGACATGATAATGTTTGCACGTGGAGCTAATGTGCCTGGAAGTCGTCATTAAAGTGAGGATTGTGGGAAAGATAACTTTATCTCTCAACATAGCATCCTCGAACAGTCAGTTCACTCATAACTTTGGTGTTTTATTAATATTTAACTAAGTAAAAACAAATGACAGTGTCAGGAAAAATTTATTAATGACCATTAAATGAATGAAATATCAAAAACTTATTCTAGACCCGACGTTTCCTTTGAAGTGCGTACATGTACACGTCGTTCATTTAATCAAGATTTACCTTCCGTGACCGTAACCCAGTACGTCGTAGGTCTTGATTAACCAACACAATATTCAAGAACCCTATTTTTAGATAGATCTTTACTTATTTCCCAAAGGCACATATTCCACTTTATTTCCTAGATGTCCAAAATTTACAATTAGAACAGTCTTGCATTCACCCTTTAACAACGACAAACTGAATTCTTTTCTTTTCTTTTTCATTAAGATTTTATTTGAGGTAAAGTATCTTTTGATGAGTTAAAATCTATTAAAATAAAATAATACTCATTGGCCTAGATTATTGATAAGAAACTATACAAAAATTGCCAATTGAACCTAATTATTTTACCTTGTTTATTGTAGAACACGAGACAGATATTGACGTTCAATTGGCATGCTTGAACAACTTTCTGTATCAAATTGGAGGCAAACTAAACAAGAACAAAGAATCTATTAAAAAATTAAAGTATATATTACAAGGTGAGAAAATGATATTCTACTTTATAAAACGTACAAAATAATACGTACCTCTTGCTCTCAATAGGATAGCTTTTTGAATTTTTTTCCCCTGGGGGCTTGCCCGAGGGAAATAATTTCCGTCAATGTTTTGAATAAAGAGCTTTTCAAATCAGAGTCACTGTATTAAAGTCTTTAGCCTGTTGATGTATATATTTCCAGGAGAATATGTATCATATTTTCACGCTAGGGTATAACTTTCTGGAATGCTTCACTATTTGGGAAATCGACAAACCGATCAGAACTGGCGTAAAAAAATTTACGAAAAGCTTATGTGAAGTATTCCTAGTATTACATGTGTAGTTTTGGACATTAAAACATTGTCAATTGTAATACTTAAGTGCGTTCTTCTACTTTTTATTGAACATGATTGTCAAACCCTTATTCTCTATCTAAGATCTAGAAATGTTAAAACTATACAGGTAGACACAATATATATTTAATATTTTGTACTTTGTTAATCTCATTTAACACTAATTAAGATAGGTTTTTGGAAGTAAATTGACTGATGCAACAACGCATTTATATTTTATTGATGTTCTAGGTAAAGAAAACTTTTAAAAAAGTGAAAGTCATGAACAATAAGATTTTGAACATAAAATTAAAATAATAATTTCTGATTTCTCTGTAGCTGCAAGAGCGCGTGAAATCAAGATGAATAAGGACAGCAATGTTTATGAAAACAACAAGGTTACTGAAGAAGATGAAGAGTATAAAGAAATTGGTGGAATAAAAAAGGGACGCGATCTGCTGGAGTTTATGAACAGAAAATATGACTTCAATTTAAATTTTTTTAAGTTAAAAGGTTTTTTGGAAGCTGTGGGAGAAAACGGATTAAGTGAAGAGTGCAATAATTTTAACAAGGAAAATAATCAAGTGCCCCTTTGCAAAGGACATGTAAGCAAAGAGGGTATGTGTTTAATCACTCGTGCGATACTTTCAAAACACAATATTGAACTTTTAATAATGTATTACAGCTAAATAATGAGAAATGTACCACAGACTATACTTTTAGTGATGTGTCCAAAAGATAACAAAATATTAACATGAACATCTTCGGAAAGATTCTCCTTTATTGAAGATATATGAAAGATAAACTTTTTTTTAATCTATCGTTTAATTAAAATATATCAAAGATCAATTATTTTTTTTTACATCTATCAATGAATCACTGAATCTGACACATCAATTTTAAATTTTGGATATTATATTGATCATAGACAGTAAAAAAGCAACAAAGCTGTAAGACAAATGACATGATTTCACATTTAACCTTCTTATTTATATAGTAACATTCCACTCTTACCTGTATATAGTGTTTATGTCTCCCAAGTTAATTGATACGCAAGAGAATGATCTGAGTATAACCAATTTTTGAAAATGAACCAGGCTTCTGACAAATAAGTTGAGGTTTCAATGATATCAACTACCTTATTTAAAGAGTTTCAAACAATACTATGATCATAATTATGACCTTGTTTGCAAATACAACCTAACACTGGGTGTTATTTGTTTTAAACCTTTGGTTAGACCACAGTTTAAACTTAATTTAACTACGGATCCCTTCATTTGCCTGTTTCATAAGGTCAAGTCTTTTATTTTTCAGATCTTATTACCTCATTAAATTTCAAGTAATTTTCAGATCAGTGATGTCTTGTCAAATCATTACATATTTGTGAGATCGTTTAATTTCATGAAATGGATAGATAAATAAGAGAAAAAAAATATTTTGCGAAAATGTTTCTAAAGGCATTCATTTCATACAAAAGAATTAATCATTGGAATGAAGTTAAGGTCAGTCAGGTATTTAGTAGGTAAAGACTTTAGTATGTTCCAAATACAATTGCGAAAAAAAATAATTGTTTCATTTGCTTTAACAAGACTTCACACATAAGGCATGATTATTAAAGATTAGTGCGAGACTTCATATGTAGCCACGAGTAGGAGAGAACTATGAGCGAACTCCCGACTATGAGTTTATCCAAGCCTAAGCAAATAATGAAAACATTTTGTTGCTTAAATATTCATACGAATAAATTATATTGAGAAATGTAACAGAAATATCTATGGAATTATATCAAAATATCAGATAAAAAAATCACTTATAAACCTTATAAAAAAAGAGACAAAACATCATTATAGTATTTTTCTAATTTTTTTCAATGAAGGTCGGCAGGATTTAAGACTAAAACTTGCAGAGGGAAAACAACATTTGAACAAGGACGACATCTTTGATGTACAACGTGATCTTTGCAAAAGTGTAAATGCTGCTAAAGATGAGGATATTTTAATGAATGGAGTTGCAAGCGGATCCATTGTTATCCATTTCCTAGTTATGAATTATCTTGTCGACATCCTTAAAGTTGGCAATTTCGAAGCGTTGTATAAATATGGATTAATAGAAGTCACTCTCATGGGACACTGTATCTACAGATGCAATAACAGTGGTATGTATTAAATCTCATTTACAATTATACTACTGAAAGTATTATTTAAAAGATTGTATTAATACAGTTTTTGTAATAATATCAAACAAGATTTAATTTTCGAAACGGTAGACTAAGTTAACTTTTGATTAACAGGTGCATCAAGAAATGAAATGATTTGTGATCAAGAAAGGTAATTTTGAGATATTTCTTGAATTCAAATATTATAGGCTCCCATAATCCTTATGAAGTATATTGTTCATTTATAAAACATACTATTAGGTGATTTTCTAAGATTTTTTAAAGTATAAATCAATGTATTCATGGCAGATTGTACATTTTTTTTAAAAAAATTATATACGAAATGCAAAGACTTTTATCATCATAAATATTTTTAAATCAAGCTTTCTCAATAACTACATTTAAAATGATAAAAAAAAATGTATACACCGAAGATTTTAAGGAGTTTTGATTATCATAGAAAGTACTTAATATATATTTTTAAAAATATTTTATAAATTTGATATTGGCAACATTTACTACAGAAAAGGTAAATAAATGCAAGGGTTGTCCCAAAATTTCACTGAAAAGCATAGTTTTGTAATGAATTAATGAAACACTTAGATAGATTAAACCCACTGTAACTAACAATATCATGGGCAAGTAATTATACGTAGTTTAAATCCTCTATAACTTATAGATTTATGATAAGACATTATGTCATTACATATGAAAAAATGACAGCTGCTTTGAAATAAGCGGCGCACTGAACTGTCATCAAATATTCTGATCATGAATTAACTCCCACAGAAACGCATGTCATAAATGCCTGATACACTTGAAAATGTGTTTTGGTACTTAGTATAAGACAATGCCTAATGACTAAAACGGTATTTAAATTGCAAAGAATTGAAGCTAAAAAAAAAAATAACCGTAAAAGTCAAGCAGGAGTGATACTGTTTAACCCCAGTCTACTTGAGTAGACAGACGAAATACCCGTAGAGAATTAGGATTTTTAAAATTATCATTTCCTGATACATGTACATACTTTGTGCTTACATCAAACGTTGATATTACAATTCAAAATGAATAAAAATAAGATATTTTACATTTATATCGAGAATTCTTATGATGAACTAAAGAATTTGATTCTTTAAAGTTGATTTGGTAACTTGTGTATACCAAATCAATATTTATATGATGTCAGAGATTACCTCGGGTGTAAGAGAACTATAACACTACCATTCTTATTATTTGATTCATTTTCAAGTAACCATATTATGCCTTCATAATCTATCAACCAGCAACACACTTTATCCACCCAGAAACATAATCAATATGCTTTGATTCCTGTAAAATATACGACATCAATCTACTAATTTTGGTACAATCCTCGTAAAATCCAATCTATGCATTTTATTGTTTGTTTCATATGTGCTTAAAATAAAAAGAAAATATCAATACACATATGTTTTTTTGATTTTTATATTTATAAGCACCCGATTTAAAGAAACTCTGTGGTTATGCTTCAAAGTTTCTTTTGAATTTGTGCCTCGAGAATTGGCAGCCCATAAACGTGCCTCAGAGGAAATACATTCACTACTACTTGGGGAAAAAGATCTTCCAGATGATAGTGTTGTTTTTGTGCACAATAGTAAAAGTGAAATTGAGGACATTTGTCTGGAGTTATTTGACTCAGAGCCAAAAATATTGGAGCAATACCCATTTACAAACCTGGAAGAAGGTAATTATTAAAATTATTTGTTTGAATAGAAACTATATAAATTTGAAATTCGGGATTCAATATTTCACTTTGTGTACTGTGCCAAAAAAAAAAAAAAAAAAAAAAAAAAAAAAAACTTAATCATTCAAAAATTGTACAAGTTCTCCAAAGAAAATGCATGCAAATAAGAAAATAACGATGAAGTTTTGAACAAAAATGCAGGTTTCTTTTATTTGCACATAAACTGATACAAATGTTTGAAAATAATCAAAGTAACATATTTCAGAAATATTGATGCTTATTTATTTATTTATATATATTTTTGGTATTATTTTGACCTCTAACTTTCTTTTATTTTTAAACATATGGACATTTAGTTAAGAAAGTTTTTGAAAAACAGATATAGATCTTCAGAAATCCATTTTTATTTGTTAATTTATTTTTTCTTTTACACCATGAAAAAAATATTCTAAATACTCGTTTGGCAAAAATCATTGGGAAACACTGACCTAAATTAATGCATGAAAACGATAAACGAAAAAATAACTGTAAATATTTCGGACTCTTTGCGTCTGCAAGAGGATATAAACAAATTGTCATTGTCTGGCTGACGAAATCGTCATATGATTACAATGTTTGAACCAATCAATGCGATCGACATACATGTATTTTTTTTTTTTTTCGAGTAGCATGAAAATCAGATATGGCGTTAAATTATAAAAAAAAATCTTAGTTTTAAGAGGAAACCCGTACATAATAATTTCATATATATATATATATATATATATATATATATATATATATATATATATATATATATATATATATATATATATATATATATATATATATATATATATATATATATATATATAAGATTGGAAAGATACAAAATCGAAGCAATGTCGACAAGGGAGGAAAACTAATCCTCCATGGAACCTGATCTCACCTCTGTTTTTATATGTAATTTGAATGGACTTTTAAAAATGATCACTGTTCGTCGTCTTCACATTTCGTAATGTCACCTGGATTTCAACAATGTCGTTTAAAGTCAGAATGTCGAAATAATTAACTTGTTTGCAAATATATTTTATCATTGCGCTTTTTTATTCATCAATTGCTAGGTTATTACTAAATTTACTAATACTAAATTACTATATGCTAAATTTGAATTCGAATTATTCCGTCTACTTGCTCTATATATGTAGGGCTCATGTAGGATGTGTCCAATTGATGGGGGATATTAAACTCCTTCTGGGAACTTGCTGGAATTTTCTGTGGTCCATTATGTGCCATATTAACAAATTATTTTGTTTATTTTGAAATCGATCACTCTTTGTTATGTTCATAATATCTTTAGAATGAACTGTGAGCATTCTCAAAATTTCAATCAAACAATACAAACTGTGAACAGAGCAAAACACAGCAGGCGTTGGCACGATAAAGATCCCTAGTAGTCAATGGCCCTAAGCACCAAGTATAGGTCTAAATTCGAAGCCCTCCACCGGTGTATGGTGACGTCTGTATATGATTGAAAAAATTCTCAAGTGGGACATAAAACGACACATTATCAATAAATCAATCAATCGTTTTTTTTTTAAACAAAAATTGAATAATTTGGTTTCAATTTTTTTTTTTATCAGCCAGGATCAACCAGGACTCAAATTCATGTTCTTCTTCGATTTCTAATTTTAGTTGCGAATAAAGGTCAAGTGATCATTTTCTGCTATGGAGAAGAAGCAAAAAATGAAGTAAGTATTACAACTAATATATGAGGATCATGTTATGCCTTCTTCATCAGAACTTTGGTAAACTAAGAAAGTTTTCCTCTGGTAGAGAAGAAAGGGTACAGTGGCTGCAACGTTATTGTTGACAACCTACACGAACGATCACGTTACACGAAAGATTCCGCACAATTAACGCACGATAAAACCTGTTACCCGAACGATCCTTCACGCACACGATTCTACACGTTAAACGATCTTACACGATTGCTAACGCAAACGCACGATTCTTCACGCAAAATAGTTCAAATTCTTTAGGAATGGATATTTTCAAAACGAATTAAGGCTTAATACTTATTTTAGATTTCAAATAATTATTGAAATTATTTCATCGACTTTGAAAATGAAAAAAAAAAATGGATATTTCTGGAACTAAATATATGTAAGACTTATTAATTATTTTAGATTACAAATAATTATTTACGTCATTCTCCGACTTAAGAAAACTGATTTTTTTTTTCATTCTATCAGAAGATGTACATTTAGGTAGACCGTGAGTTTTGATTGAATTGGATTTCATAATATGCAGAAATTAAGGGATAAGATTGAAAAAAAATATTAGAAATTTTCAAAACGATTCTTTAATTTGAATAAGAAAAACTTCATAAGGCTCTCTGTAGTTTGATACAGAGTGTTAGTATTTTAATCAAAACAATTTCTGCACTCTTTCATGTAGCGTAGATTAAATTCACGTGTTCTCCACCACGACTTCCGTTCTGAGGCCTCAACTGACAGTAAACTAATAGACGGGGTCACGTGACTCCCTCTAAAAATGGCATGAAAATGAATTATATTATACATGTAAGTAATATCCATGTTTCCATTTGTGAATCTCAAAAATGAACAATTATTTTACAAATCATTTATTTGCAGAAATTATTAAAAAAAAAAATAATTAAAAGTAAGCACCAGAGATAAACACTGATAAACGAAACCCCGACAATCATGTCGTGTACATGTACATTCGCAGAATAAATATTTACGTAAGCAATGAGAATTGTTAAGGTCTTCCGTTTCCAACGGAAGACCTTCTACTTTTTCTGATGATTAAGATTATTCTTATTATTCTTTTTTTTTTCCTAGACGCCAACTTTGAAGTTTCATATCTTCCTCATTTCTGAACGGATTTTGTTCAAATTTTCAGAGCTTTTAGACTTTACAAAACACTCTCGTAACACTGTAATACAATGCGGAAATTACCTTCTGTTCACGAGTTATTCCCCTTTGATTGAAATTTTAATGCCTCTGGTTTCCAGACAAAGGCTTTGATACTGTAATAATTGGAGCACCAAACCCTTTGAAATTAAACAGAAGAAGCATTGAAGTTGTGCACATCGGTTTTTGTTTTTTGATTTTTGCATTAAAAATGGCGCTAGAGAGGGGTCAAAATTTAGAACGCGAAAAAGAGCAAAAATTTTGACATATTTTCCTTTATATCTTTAAAACTAAAAAATATTTTGTTAAAACATGTAGAATAAAAGTTGTGCATAATTGCAAGAGCTTTCATTTGATATCATTTAAAATGGGCTGGCCCCTAAAATTAGGGATCTAGAGCCCTTGAAAGTTTTCGCTTTATAACTAAAAAACGGCAAATATTTCGATATGGCTTTCGGAATTAAAGTTGTTTTTTAACACCTTATTGATCTCATACAAATGTTGTTTTGTTCGAGTATTGCGTAATATGTCGTAATATGCAGGTAAAAAGCAGGACCCGTAAACAGGTAAACGTTTTCATTCGGCAAGTAAATCAGAACTCTTCATGTGTATAACTTAAACAAACTTGCAATAAATTATATACCCTACTGTATTTAATGCTAATTTCCTCCTAAATAAGGTTTTAAACGTGTTCTGTGGTTCACTCATACATTATTTTTACAACTTCATTTCTTTTTTAATTTAGATTTAAAGGGAACACGTCTTCAAATAAAGGAAAGAATTAAATGTATCTATATAACTATATAAGTAATATTAAACTTTAAGCATCGAATAATTAATGATCATTAACTGTACGCATTTTACCAGTTTACGTTCCCCATGTTCACCTCGATGTTTATAGTTGTGTAACACAACCCGCGATCCAACGTTGCTGAGGTCACCAGTTTTACCAGCCACCTGCGGTCATAAGCCATGTAAACAAAACAAACATCTGAGAAGACAAATCCATTGTGCAAAAACAACGATTAATGAAACATTATGTGTTTTTTATTTATATCGAATCTTTAAGATAACTTAATCTCATCTTTGATTTAGTCTTAATTCCAAACACTAATGCATTAAATCATTACGAATTTTAATCGCTTTCACCGACCTGGTCACTGTCGACACAACAGTATGATGTAAAAAAACCAAACAATTTATTTCTCTATCCAGTGTTATTGTATTCTATTTCAATTGTAATTGAAATGGTGCTACGGCAAATAATTGCAATTAGTGATGGAAATATTAAGTATTAGTACTTGTGTAAAGTATAATTTTTGCTATCAGTCTCTTGTTTCTTCATTTAATTTTTCATTTAATATTAAATAAACTATTTACATAAAATAATACTTTTAAACATACAATAATTCACGCCTTCTTACAGTTTACATTCCGCTCTGTCTCTGTGTTTAACTTTAAAATTGGTAACCCACTCGTCGTTCACACGTGGCCGCAGAGATTACCGAGCCGCGGTCATATCGGTGTTCAAATGCAGTGTACTCATAGCTATTAATGAAAAATTGTGTTTGAAATCATTTCGAATCTTAAATATTATTTTATTTCACTCTATCTCACGCTTATTTTTATCATTATCTTATCCGCCTGTGCATTTATTCATTTTAAGTTTTATGCATTTTAATTGCAGACTTAACCACTAGGTTTGCAACAATTTATTTTTCTGTCTCATGTTTTAAACTGCATGCATAATAATTATAAGTGGAGGTGACGTTTTCAATTCTCGGGAAAATCGAAAATTAAATTAATCACTTCTGAGTTTGCATTATTTGCTACCAAACTTATAATTGTATTGTACAGAATGATATACTTATGGATTTCTTTTATTTCGTCGAATAAACAGAATATCCAATACACGATTTTACGGATACATGCTTGTAAGTACATGCAGTTTTACATGGAAGAGTGCCCTAACTAAATACATCCTCAGCTTTCAGAATACACATGCCTGTGTACAAAACAAACGGGAAATTCACAGATAAGGAAAAAAAAACATGTCTCCATAAATTAAATACACAATCGCAATGATGTGTTTTATTGATCAGCATACGGTTTTTTATCCTTCGTCCATGCATTTCGACGATACGGAAAAAAGATCCGATTCGGTAAAATTATAGCAAACGAGGTTGAAAATTGTCGGACTTTTTATCCAGTTGAAAAAAAAAATGTGTTAGTCCTTTGAATGGCAATATATCCGAATAGTAATTAAACAGCCTATCAAATACGCAGCTATGTTAAGGCTTCCCGAAGCTTTAAATGCGCTCAAAACATAATATGCCATTGCGAGGTCGGTTTTGGTTTTAATTTATAAGTATTGAACTTTAGTACTTCCAATTTATATAAAGGGTTTCCTCGGCTATATATTAGCATATTTGCTATGATATCACATGACTTTGTTGATCACGTGACGGTCATTTATAATTTTTTGAAGTGTTTCATATAAATCGCTTCGGCGCAGCTGATTAACACAGTAATTATTAACATTTTGTTATATAAATAAACTCATCGTATCCTTGTGTATCCGAAATGTGCTTGGGAAAAGTCATAGAATTACTTGGGTACAAAATATTTCCTGAGAAATTCAACTTACCTACAAATTTGAGGGTATTTTCCTCACAATATCGTAATCTGTATTAAAACAAAGCCAACACACATTTTTCCCAAGCAAGATTCAGTTAGAGAACAACCTCTTCTTACAGATTTCCACAAAAATTCTCAGATTAATCCTAATTAATCACCTGCGCCAGACTCTTTTATACACACAAAATAAATTCTACCTCCAACCACGGGTATAAAACAGAGTACGTTTCAAAAGTATATTTTTCATAAGCATTTTGAACATGATGAATTTCAATCAAGGGTAGGTAAGCGGTGTATTTTTAAAATAGTCGGACATATAAGACTTAAAAAACCTTTAACAACCCGTGAATTTTGCAATAGCTATCTAGCATTTTACAAGCAGTTTGAAATAAAGTGTAAAGTTCATGACATTCTCCCCGTCAAAACACCTCAAGTTTGCAGTGACCTGACGTCATTTTCCATTATGACGTCATATTTTGGTAGTTCAGAGATGTGAAGGCACAGAGTGCACTGTCATATTCTACGGGAAGCCTTAACCTACCTGCGTATATCACGGCGTCCATATAAGGATGAAACTTTGTTTGGTAAATAAAGTGGTTCTTACAAATATGTAACAATTCTTAAACATCTAAATAATTATTTCATTTTTCTAACAAATACTAATTTGGTTCTAAGAAAGCCACGCAGTTGTATACAAATATTCCAAAATAATCTTTCATGTTTAATGGACTGACAAGTGATCAAATTTCCTCTCATCACGATACGCACCCCCCCCCCCCTTTAAAGAATACAATGTTTTTCTTTAGAGCCGAAAATGTCAATCGGTTGGTTTGTTCAGGTACGTATACATATAGGTGAGGTCTGGTGTTGAATTCCGAGAGAAATCCACAACCTATTTTAATGTAAACCAATAATCATACGCGACATTTGTTATTCGCGAATCGTCAAATGAATGAAAAACAAGGTCTGCAACGATTAATATCCTTGACTAAGCTTTCCTATTTTATAAAATTTTAATATATTTTATTTTATTTCTAAAACTTAAAAAATGTAACGATTTAATGTGTTCATTGGAGTGGTCAATTGCGCGTCGAAGTGTATACTAATAGTTTCTTTGGGTGGGGGGAGGTACCATTTTCGGTGCATTTGATTTCCGGAATTTTGCATTGCACTTC